TACCCAAGAAGTTTTTCAGATTTTAAGTTCGAAGGCGTCCGTTGATACTCGCGCAGGATGCACGAATATCGAGACGCAACTAGATGGTTGCAAGGGGACATGATATAACAATTAACAAAGGAAGGATCAAATGCAACGAATTAGGTAGGTCCGCCAATCTGCCTTGCAGACGGGACAACTGATTAAGTGCGATCCTATCAATGCATAATATTTTTCAAGCAACATAATTAAATTTCAAATATAGGCTCAAGATGTTCAAAGGTGGCTTGCCTTGCTCGAGATCTGGAGCTTGATCCTCGAAATCCTCGCACTGCGGGTCTTCGGGCTCCGAAACTACACGCGAAACGGGACAACTCAACAAACGGCGAAAATAAAGCCCTATTAATGACCTCTAAGCGTGCCATTAGATAGATCTCGAGATTTGAGGAATTTTGGAAGTTGAACGGAGTCAAACGGATTTACGGTTGGGAAGATATTGAATTTCTAAGATTATTGGATTTTTGGTCTAAAGGAAAAGGATTTAATTAAATCCTTTTTGGAAAAGAAAAAGAAAAGAAAAGAGGGAGGGATTATAGACTTTTCCTCGGGCGGCTAGGGCGCGGCCCAAAGGGAAATGGAGCGGACCGGCCGAGCTAAATGGGCCGGCCGGTCCAAGGCGGCCTAAGTGCGCGCGCGCGGGAGGGGAGGAGAGAGAGAGGGCCGGTGGACCGGGCTCACCGTGCGCGGTCCCGGGTGGGACCCGCTTGTCAGCGGCTCGGCTCACCATGTGGAGGGAGCACGCGGCGCACGCGCGCGGGCGGGGGAGGGACGCGGTGCACGCGCGCGGTCTGCGGAGGAACGGATGCGGCGGGCCCACGCGCAGCCTCACGGCTCGCGGTGGAACGCGCGCACGGGAGGGGCTGACCGGGGTCGGCCCGTCCCGACCTCGGCTGAGCTGGCGCCGACGTGGCGCCTACGTGGCTGCCACGCGGGCCGGCGGGAGGTAGACGACGACGCCGGCCGGAACGGACGGCGGACATCAGCGGCGAGCGGCGGAGCGAACCACGGCGATACCGACGAAAGCGAGCACACCAGGTGGTTGCACGAGACGAGGGGAGACGAGCCAACGGCTCGGATTCGCCGGAGGAAGCTTGACGGTGGCGAATCGCGGCGGCGGCAACCGGCGGGGAGGGAAGAGGGAAACGGCGACGAGGTCACGAGGGGCCGATTCCCGGCGGTGAGAGCATCTACGCGGCCACGGGAATCCGATGCTAGCGTCGGATTGGGTGGAGCTACGCCGAGCGAGGCTGGCGACGAGCGGGTGCTACGAAGCTCGAGCGGCGACGGCGGCGAGCACACGGCGAGCGACGGCAAAGGTCGGGGCGGCGCCGGCTAGCTACGGGGAGGCTACTCGTGCTACCACCGAAAACTAAGGGGGGGAGATGGAGCGAGGAGGAAGAACGGAGAGAGGCACTACCGTGCGAGTCGGGGCGCAGTGACGAGAGGCCGACGGCGCGGGAGTAATCTCTCCGGCCTCGGGCCGGGGAAGAGGAAGGAGAGGGCGCGGCCGAAGTCCCCTTCCGTGTCCTTGCTCGTGCCGGCTCCTCCGACACGCGCAACGACGAACGGCGACGGCGAAACAGAGGGGCGGCAATGGCGCGGTGGCGGCGAGCGAAACGGGAGGGGAAAGGAAAGGGGGAGCTCGGGTTTATAGGGTGGCAATGTCGGTTTGGGAACCGACTTAGGGCGGTCAAAGGAGAGGGCTAGCGCTCGGCGGTCGCGGCCAAAGCGGTGACAGGGAGGAGGGAGGAGGATGACGCCGGCGGGAGGGAAAAAGGGGAAAGAGGGAGAGAAAAGGGGGCTTGTCCCCTTGCCTCTTCGGGAAAAGGAGGAGGGAAGCAGGGGCGTCGCGGCAGAGGGAGGAGGGCTCGGCCTCCGTCCCTTGGCGGCTTGCGCGCGGAGTGGCGGGGCCGAGGCGATGACGACGGCGATGACGGCGGGGCGGTTTGGAGGGCGCGACGACACGGGCGACAGGCGCGGGCTGGCGCGGCTGAGGGTGACGGCGGCGGCGACCAGACGGTCGGCCACTCGGCACGCGCGCGCGGGAAACAACGGGAGGGCGCGGCGGATGGAGCGGCGCGGCTCGGGCACGCGCGCTGGCTGCGGGGCCGAGCGGCGGCAGGCGCGGCAGGGCAGCGGGGCCGGGCGGCGAAGACGCGGCGCGGGCGCGTGCGCGAACGACGCGCGGGGAGCGGCATCGAGGGGGCGGAAAGGAGGGCTCGGCTCGGCGCGGGCGGCTCACGCGCACGCGCGGGCAGAGCGAGGGGAAAGGGAGGGGGCGCTTGGCGCGGCGGCTCACGCGCACGCGCGCGCGGCGCGCGGGCGGGGCGGAGCGGAGCGGAGGGAGAGGGGGAGAGGGAGCGCGCCGGGGGAGGGGAGGGGGTGAGAGAGAGAGAGAGGAGCGGGAGCGCGCCGGGGGAGGGGAGGGAGAGATGGGCCGAGCGAGATTCGGCCCATCGACCCCGGAGGAGGCAAAATAGACTTTTGCGGAGGAATTTGATTTGGAAGGATTTGGATTCGGATTTGAACTTGACGATGGATCGGGGATTGAGATCTTGAGATGGCACGGACACTAGACAACAAGCAAAGAAACAAATTTCGCAATTAGGGTTTTTAGGAGATAATTTTCCCGCTAGGCGCCACGGCGGAACGGGCGCTACACAAACTTTCAATTTTAATCAAACCTTCAATTTTAACGTGTAACTAAACACAGCCTCTGTATGCCGTCCGTGTCTGGCATCTCCCCTCGTGCAGTCGTGCTCGTTTTTAGGAATTCGGCGATCGGGCCTCCGTCGCTACCTGCGAGGGGATTTGAGAAAAAGGACCTGATGCGCACAATGTGATTTGCTGCATCTTCTTACATCTGTTAATATTTTATTTAAAATTTAACAACAAATATATGGATACTCCCTTCATAAATACTCACCAACAACCCAGCGGATACTTAAGTGTTTTGCAGGCACCCACGACATTAAGCCTGTTCGGCTGCTCGGGCTGCAGGCCGGTACGAACAGTGCCGTACTCACTGTGTGCAGCTGCAGCCGTTGCAGGCCCCCGCCGAGCAGGCCTATTCTTGGTGGCCAATGTGGACATGGGGTGGATAACCACAACCCGCTTCACCTTGCAACGGTTGACATCGATTGTGGGACCTATGCTTAAAAAAATACAATGCCGCTGATGTCAGACATCACATGGTGTAATTACACTGTAATTCCTCTGTCAAAAGAAATTTAATCCTATATAAATTTCAGTTCTACGAAATGAATCTAAACGCATACGCACATGTGACTCTTTCCTTTTTACATTGGGAGTACGAACGAACATATTTTACACATGCATATATGTTTTTTTTTTTGCTAAAATAGGAAGACATCAAACATAATCAAACAAATGCTATATTTAAACTCTGCAACGATCTCCTCTCGACCACTAACATTTTAGTCACCTTGTCTCCTATAAAATCCTCACCTTTTCATCACCACAAACCACACACATAAAAACAAATAAACAAACCACTTCAAATTGGTCGGAGAAGAAGAGGGCGTTCGCGCATGGGGAAGGCGGCGAGCATGAGGGTGGCGCTGGTGTCCGTGGTGCTCGTGGGCCTGATCCTGGTTTCCACGGCCCACGCCGCGCGGCCCGAGAAGCTGCCCGCCGTCGTCTCCCCCTCCATCGCCCCCGCCGTCGCCGAGGTCGTCGATGCCGCCATCAACGCCGTCGACCTCCTGGCAGGGTTTCAAAAACCGCCGGGGGCCCGGTTACCGCCACCCGGCGGTACGGCGGTTACCGGCGGTAACCGCGGTAACCGCGCAAAACCGCGACAAATTTACAAATCGAAATTTGAATTCAAAAATTCGGGCAAACCGCGCGGTTTGACGCGGTAACCACGCGGTTTGGCGCGGTTACCGCGCGATGTGTAATGGGTTGCACAGTAACGGGCCGGCCCATTTTTTTTTCTTTTTCCAATTTTCAAATTTATTCTCCGTTTTGCTCTCAAATTTGAATAAATATTACTCTTTTTTGAGAAATTTCTTCACCATAAAACACTATAAATCAAGCACTACCTTCACTATTTTTTTTGATTTTTTTTTTTTAAATTTTTGAATTTGGACGAATTTTATTAAACCGTACCGCGCAAGCACTACCTTCACTATTTTTTTTGATTTTTTTCTTTTTTTTAAAATTTTTAAATTTGGACGAATTTTATTAAACCGTACCGCGCGGTACGGGTAACCGTACCCCCGCGGTACGGGCGGTAACCGCGCCGCGCGGTTACCGGCGGTTTTTCACACCCTGCCTCCTGGGGGTCTCGAAGATGCAGGAGGCCAACCCGTACACTCGCGGCTGCAGCAGGATCAACCGGTGCCGCGGCTGACGGACGGCACGCGCGCGTCGCAATTATACATGTGTATTTGAGTATTGATCATCGACGACGACGATGAGCTAGCTGGTGGACGATTGATTTCGCGTGGTGGCGATTGGATCTAATTACCCGTGTGTGTACTACTCCGCTCCTCCGATTTTAAATATACTCCGCAATTATTAACTTGTTTATTTTTTGTTTTGTTGTTCTTCAATTCTCTAGGTAATACTTAGATATTAGACACATGCATGCTTAAGTATATATATACGTCTTCACTTCAATTAACTAACTGATAAATTCTCCTAAAAATTCAGAGAAGAAAGTGACAAACGGACGTAGTTCTATGATTCGACTCGGGGGATCGGAACGAAAACAAGTACTGTAACCACCCGTACTCCCTCCGTTCCGTTCCAAATTATACATTGTTTTGTTTTGGGTTTGTCGAAGTCAAAACTTAAATTACTTAATTGTTAATTTTGATTAAATTTATATTGTTGTATAAAATATAGGTAGAAAAATTATAGAAAAATAATGGGAAGGAAACAATGCCAAAACTGTTTGTCGGTGGAGGACGACAATTAAGAGTGATAAACTAAGCTTTCATCAGTAGAAATCAACCACTTATTGTTATATAACATTGGAGCCTTGAAGAGGACAATGCATGGCTACAGACACACAGAAACGTAGCGTACGGAGACACACAAACACAATTACATTTGTAGCCAGGATGTAGAAAGCAGCAGCTTCGTACATCGATCACAATATACGTACACACACACGATATAGCTAGATCGACTTGCTAGTAGCTAGGGCAGTACGTGAAGAACACGTACATACATACTAACATACATATGGCTACAATATAATCCTGCAGGGACCAAAATTTTGTAGCCAGCATAGCTTACACGTCACGTAGAGTAATACTAATACGTACGCCTGCCATGCATGCATGCACATGGATACACCAAGGAAATGCACACACTAGTACACTACTATATGATCGAGCAACCACAACACACCAGCACGCTAGTGCACGTACGTCTCACTTGCGGCCCAGGTTCTTTTTGGCCTCCTTGAGCATCTTGTCGTCGGGCTCGATGAGCACGGCGCCGGTGTCGTCGTCGGCGCGCTCCTTGCCGGACTCCGTCGTGCGGCTCAGCCCTCCCTTCTTACGCCCTGCACACGTATACACTATTACGCCAATATAAACGTACGTACACATCAAATCGATCAGAACGTGTAAAAGATATAGCACAAAAGAGAGAAGAAACATAAAAAGGACACGGGCCTTCGGCGAGGCGCTCCTGGGCGTCGAGGCTCTTGCCGCCGGTGCCGCTCTTGATGACGGTCTTGCCGTCGTCGCGGGCGCGCCGGTCCAGCTCCGCCCGGATCTCCGGGTCCTGCAGCTCCGCCGCCTTCTCCGCCTGCTGCGCCATCGATGCGTACGTACGTGCTCTAAGCTAAGCTACCCTACGTACGTATACTAAACCAACCAACGGCTAATATGCGCTAGGCTTTATTTCCTCGTGGCGAGATTGAGATAAGCTAGCGATGGATCGATGCCTCCGCTTTGCGCGGCTCGGCACCGCTACTTATACGGAGGCCGATGCGATGAGCACGATACGCACCACGCCGCGCGCATGCGCCGCTGCTACGTACTCACGTAGCCGCGGCCGTTTAACCGAGGCAGCAGCAGCAGGGCGGCGTGGTGGCCATGCGCGGGTGGCACGCGCGCGCGGGTTCAGAGACCACGGGTAAACACGCGGCGGCCGCGGGGGGAGGTTGGGTTTCACCGCGCGACGGGTGGCGGTGTCGCCGCGCTCGGCGCTCGCCCGTGGTGAAAAGCGAAGCGGAACACGTACGTACCGTGTCTGCCGTCGGTGGATCCGTGGATGCGTGCGAGCGCGACATGTGGGTGCTTAGCCGATGGGCCGTAACGTAAGCCTTTCTCTCTCCATCGGCCTCTCTAGCTGGTGGAAAAAAAATCGAAAAAAGAGTCTACCTACGGGCTTGGCTTTTGGGCCGGCCTGGCTGTGTCCAGTTCGTCTTTGGAAAACATAAAGGCTTAAAAAAAATCTGTTGACATATTTTTCTTTAAATATACTACTATTGCTATGGATAAAATAAAAAATATATTATAATACTATATAAAATAAATAAAATCATATTTTTCATCAATATGTTACTCACCTCTTTGCTAAAAAAAAACTCACATCAATTTAATTTTATATGATGCTATCCATGTATTTAGATCTAATTGTTTTTTACATATTAAGAAGTTCAAGGGTTATGTGTAAAAACTGCAATTAGAGTGGGTTGACAGATTCACTGACACCACTATTAAGTTCAAGGGGTTAGTAGAGATGTTGATCGATTTCCGATCCATTAAATATGTTGACACAACCGCTCTAACCAACTGAGCAAGAATACTTTTCTTATTTGAATTAAAATTATACCTTACCTACACCACAATTACATATGAATTAGACCATATTATATCTAGCATACTCCCTCCGTTTCAAAATGTTTAACACCGTTGACTTTTTAGCACATGTTTGACCGTTCGTCTTATTAAAAAAATTTATGAAATATGTAAAACTATATGTGTACATGAAAATATATTTAACAATGAATCAAATGATATGAAAAGAATAAATAATTACTTAATTTTTTTAATAAAACGAATGGTCAAACACGTACTAAAAAGTCAACGGTGTCAAACATTTTGAAACAGAAAAAGTATATTTTAAGAAAAATATTGCTGGCATACTTTTTACATACACCCATGAAAAATACACTATGGCTATGTTCGGTTAATCCCCAAGAGGGAGCGATTGAAGAGGATTTATTCCACACCTACTCTGGTGTAGAATTATTTCCCCTCAAACACCTCCAATCTTTTTCAACCCCTCTAAACTGAACAAGGCCTACAACAGTGCAGCTTGCGGATGTGCAACAAGCAGGGACAAAATAATTGGGAGAATCATCCGCATGCAACACCTTTATGACCAACAAATAATCGATTTTCCTATGTTTTTTATCCAGATATCTACTTCTTTCTAGAAGGTTTTTCATTGCATTCGTTGAGTCGTCGTAAAAATACTAGTTTGGCATAAAGAGAGAGAAAAGGTATAGCACTAAAGGTGTAACAAAGTGCGTGTCATGGCGAATGAGGTTTGCCATTACCGTCTTGTATATTTTGTCAAAAAGGAGGAATGACTATACCTAGCGCGTCCGAAAGGGGGCAGTTTTCATCGGCCCAGAACGTCAAAAGATCCTCTAGAACAAGGTTACATTAGTTCAAAAGCCAGTTTGGCTAAATGCACATGGAACTTGCATACAAGTTACAACTACTCTGAGATATGACCGGCAAGTTTCTCTCTTTCAGGCTTTTAGCTGTGATTTTCCACTGTGTCTGGAATTAATTAACAAAACTTCTAGTACTCGTTTTTTTTTCCGGATAATATAACACTTTCATAGTCGAATTTATGTTTTACATGTATGGAAGTTTTTGCCTGATGAGAATTTTACCACATGGTCAAAAGGTTCATCTGACTATTCTCTGATGAACAGTCTACTATACGGTATGTTGTTATGTGCGAAAACTTTTTATATAAAAATCGCTTTAAAATATCAAATATATCCATTTATCAAGTTTGTAATAATTAAAAGTTAATTAATCACATGTTAATAGCTTTCTTGTTTTGCGTGCACTAACTTCATAAGTTTCAAACATCATCTGAACCTGTTTCCTCATCAAGCGTCACATGTCACCTTACACAGAGATCTCCAAACAATTCGTTCATAAGGTTACTCCTGGGGAGATGTTTTCTTCAGTTATCTCAAAAAGGACAAGAAAGAACACATCAATCATCATAGTGTGGAGTGATTTCAGAATCCAAAAACCCGCCAGCGCAGGCACAAAGGGACGAGTAAATCATGCAATCGATTTGTCGTCTCCCTCTCTCACGAACAGTGCATATTTGCGGCTTCTTGGGCAGCTTGTCGACCACCTGGTGATGAACTCCCAAAGTCCCAAGTTTACATGCAAAGCTACCGGAATACTAAGCCAATGAGACCATGAGAGCCATCCCTCTTGTTTAATTTCTTGAATCTTTTGAATCTTGGCATCTTTTCTAGCTGTTCTTCTGTTCATGAGTCAATGGTGAAACCATTTCAATTGTGCATGTCAGATCCTTCTGAAGAGTAGTCTGAATGAAGTATTGGGAATTTGGGACAAAACTGACTAACATTCGACGTTAATTCTGACCTCACATGTTGTCATTGGAAAAATTGGGTAGTAGGACAAGAAGACATAAACACAGCAACCATCAGAAGATAAGTTCGAGTGAACAGTGTTTCTTCTGTGAGTTTCAGATAGGAAAATTGACGCATTCGATGACAGTGTTGAAACTGAATCATATGCATAAGCACAAGACCCGTCAATCATTTCATAAAGGATCCAAAGGCCTCTCTCCTGCGAAGTTGCTTGTTAATTGAGTGTGAAAGAGAGATGTTTTGCTTCAGCTAAAGGCCAAGACTGTCACTGTTGGAGCCTGTACTCCATGAAAACTCATTTAATCGTGTCTCTATCCCTCTGTCTCGTTCGGAGGAAATGCTTGAAACATTAGTCAATGAATTGCATGACTTTTTCTGACGAGCTAACCAATTCAAGAAGAGGACTCTTGTGGCCTCCCTGCTGCCTGATCTCCATTGTTTTCATAAGTCCTTGGCCGATCACATGTCCAAAGGGTAATTCATCAAGTTTACGCAACAAGAAAGATATCTTATACCACAGATAATTACTGACAAGTCAGTGCAAACCATTGCTCTTAACACTTCAGTTCTTTGTGTACATCTGTGTACCCTTTTCACCCTGGCAAAGCACAAAATACTTTGCACATTATCTGACTGGAGAAAAATGGCATTTAGTAATTACTAGGGAGTTACCCACGATAAAATTTTCATGATACAGTTATCCTGTCACGACATATTGGTTGGTTACAGTCTGAAATCATCTGAATCCTTATCAGAACAGACTCATAAACCATTTGTCAGACTTTTCCTACACATCCTACTCATGACACACTCATGCATGCCACCTCATCCAGTGGGCCCAGGAGGACAAACCATGCCAATCCAAAGAAACTTTCTCTTAGTCTTTGTGGGGGACACATGTAAGAAAAAGGGACATGCATATATAGGGTGGTTGGCCAGTAAAAAGTGTAGAACACTTAGCATACCAATTATCATGTACATGAAGTGATCAAATCTCACCCACAAGCATATCTCTCGCACCATTCCACCCTATAGAAACGAGATAACAAGACGCTGTTTGCACTAGCTATTGTAAGCTCCATCTCACTTTCACTTCGTTTTCCTTGCTTTGCTGCATCATTTCTTGACAACTGCAGTTGTTCTTGATGCTGTTTCTTCATCTGATCCATCTCATTTTCCCCTGTTACTGCAGTGACAGCCGACAAGAACCAGTTAGGTAAAACTCAGTAGGATGCAGGTTTGAATGGCTGAATGCCAACCTCTGCAACTGCAAGAAGGCAAGAAACTGCAAGAGCTGCAGCCATACGATGGCTGCAATCCTTCAGTGTACAGAGGCCCAATTCTGCTGCCCCGGCAGGCCAACTCGGCGCCGCCGGCCGTGCCGCCGGAGATGTCGTCCTCGTCGGGGTCAGGGAGAAGCGCGACGGAGGCGAGAGCGTTGAAGATCCACAGCGAGGCTGAACGGCGGCGGCGAGAGAGGATCAATGCTCATCTGACAACACTGAGGAGAATGATCCCTGATACTAAGCAGGTTTGTGCAAGTTTTTACCGTTGTGAAGCATTCAGAAAGAAAAAAAATATGCATCAACATCTGAGCCATTTCAGAGAGTTTGCTCGCAGTTCAACTTTAAACTTTTTTTGTGATCTTGTTAGCTAACATAATTGTTGAAGCTAAAGATGAGAGAGGTTAGATATCTATTTAAAAAACTGTTTTTCTGTCGTAGTTCGTGTAGAACTTTGATACTTGCAAGAAAGTCGAAACCAAGAAAAAGTCATCTGAAAGAAATCTTCAGGCTCACATTTGTTCACATTTCAACACTCCTTTTCTAATAAGTTTGGAATTCCCTCACAGGACAAATGCTACAAGCCTAGAATGCCATGACTCCTGAACACAAATTTTCTTAAAAAAATTTCTGCACTGCAGATGGACAAGGCCACCTTGTTAGCCAGAGTGGTGGACCAAGTGAAGGATCTGAAGAGGAAAGCAAGTGAGATCACACAAAGAACACCTCTCCCTCCAGAGACCAACGAAGTCTCCATCGAATGCTTCACCGGAGACGCTGCCACCGCCGCCACCACTGTCGCCGGCAACCACAAGACCTTGTACATCAAGGCTTCCATCAGCTGCGACGACCGGCCGGACCTCATCGCCGGGATCACCCACGCATTCCATGGCCTGAGGCTGAGGACGGTCAGAGCAGAGATGACATCACTGGGAGGAAGGGTGCAGCATGTGTTCATATTGTGCAGGGAGGAAGGCATTGCAGGTGGTGTGAGCCTCAAGTCTCTGAAGGAGGCTGTCAGGCAGGCACTAGCCAAGGTTGCCTCTCCTGAATTGGTATATGGCAGCAGTCACTTTCAGAGCAAGAGGCAGAGGATCCTGGAGTCACATTGCTCAATTATGTCCATATAGATTTGTTCCTCTTCTGGGGATTTTGATTTTATTTTTCTACTAGCTGAGAATATGTATGAAATAAGAGAGAGAATCTTCTTCTTCTGAGAGCTATATAGGCCTGAGAATTGTGTGCCTGAAATTGCTGTGAAAGAATTGATGTCTGAACTGTTGCTAGTGCTAGTGGTTGCAATCAACTGACAAGATCATATGGCACAGGGTTTGCATTGTGTATGACTGTGTGTACAGAAATATTCTTCTGGGAAGTCACATGATAAGCTTGACAATTCAGCTTGCGTGTTTGCGTAGAACGACTGACAACGTAACACCTTTTGAATATGGATTGGCTGGCTCATTTTAGAATAGGAACTACCTTGTCTTTAGTTCTGGGCTTGTTTGGTTTAGTACCCTACCAATATATTGGTAGTGCCAAACTCTAGGCAAGTTTTGGCACTACCAATATTTTGGTAGGGTAGAATTGTAAATGAGTGTCTTTGGATTGATGCCAATTGAGAGCCAAATTTCAAATCATGGTGAAGAACATTCTAGAATTGTGCCAAATTGAGTATAGGCATTACCAAATATTTGGCTTTAAACCAAATCATCACATTTACTATTTAAACTACCAAAACATTGGTATGGCAACATTTTGGTATCAAACCAAAACGGCCCTCTGTTTTCGGGGCTAGTTTTTCCTGCCCGCCGTATGCAACTTTCAAGCGTGTGCTTACAGACTCTATAGTAAATCCATGCCGGAGGAACCGTGGACCAGCACCCCGGTACCAGGGATGCAAGTGGACCGATCCACAAACCTACTTATATGTTAAATAAAGGGTAATCCGAGAATTTTCACGTCATGACTCGGCTTGCCGCGTCGTAGAGATGCAAGTGGATCAACCCATAAACCCATTTATAGATCAAATTAATAGGTAACCCGCAGATTACTCACTAATTTTGCCTATAAGCGGGTTCGCGGGTTAGCCCGCTTGCATCGCTACCCGGTACCCAACGACCAAATTGATAGCAGCCATGACCATCACCATGGTTGACAGGAAGACGACGAGTTTCTGGCACTCGCATTGGCTCGAAAACAAAGATGCCCAAGACAATTGCATCGGCTATCTACGCAGCCTCAAGGCAAAAGAACAGAACAGTCTGCAAGGCCCTTTCCTCCGACCTGGATTCGTGACATTCAACTACTACAAATCACAACGGTGGAGCACCTTAGGCAGTATGTCGAGCTCTAGACCATGATCCAGAGAATAGGCCCCCTGAGACACCAGAGAGACACTATCATTTGGAGATTCACAACTAATGGGGAGTACATGACGAAGTCGGCTTATCGGCTCCAATTCGTAGGAGCGGTAGGAACAATTTTTAGTCAAATAATCTGGAAGTCTTAGGCATCACCAAAGTGTAAATTCTTCACATGGTTGGTCATTCAAAATAAGGTTTGGATAGCGGATAGACTGCAAAAGAGAGGTTGGCAAAACGAACAGGTTTGTTCTCTCTATAGAGTGGCTCAGGAAACGGTAGTACACCTCCTTGCAAATTGTAAATACTCCAGAAGGATGCAACACTAGGCTAGCATAGACCTTTGTCACACCCCGATCCGGCACCGCCGTACAACGGCACCTGACAGGAGCGTGTCGTAGGAAAAACGGCGTGAACCGCTTCCTACGAAACCGCGATCTTAGTACCAGTCCCAGGACATAGCGCTGGTACCCACGGTGACAAATATGAATCATTGCAATCCTTAAAATAAATAGATGACTTATTTACCTTAACTTAGGTTGCAACTCAGAACAGCCCGAGAATGCAACCGACAACACGGACGAGGCAAACACCAATAACAGCAGCAACAGCGGAACCAACGGACTAACACCCAACACCACAGGCGACGGCTGGGAACCAGGACGAAACCCTACTCTTCACTTCACTTCATCTTCAGCTTCAGGGCGGAGGAACTATATATATTTATATAGAGCAAGGGTGAGTACTTTCGTACTCAGCAAGTCATGGGAACTTAGGTGTTTAATGCAAGTTTGGAAGAGAGGCAAGATTGTTTTACGAATCTTTTGTTTGAAAGCATTTTGGACTCACTAAGTGATTTACCTCCTTTTTAAGTTTGGGTCGAAAAGAGACTTGCGTCTCGATTCGACTTTAAGAGATGCTTTTCAACAACTCAAATGGTAATGTACCGACCTCCCGGGTCAGATCATTACTTCTCGGCTCCTCGAGCCATTTCACTTGATTAATCGGCTCCCAGAGCCTTTTTCATTTTCTCGGACTCCCAGATTCCAGCTGCCCAGTCGTACAACAATCCGCTTCCACTCGGGAAGCCTAGTCTATGATGCCCGTAGACATCCCGAATCACACAGATTCGTTTCTGACCACTCAGGTCATCCATCTGCCACATAGGCTGATTCTGGCGACGATTCCCAATCCACAACAACTTTTCACAAAGCACAGGCAAACAAATCTACGCAACGGGAACCACCTCACATCCGCCCATGACCGTGGGCATGGCTGTTCGAACAGTTAGTTAACCTCTGCAGAGGGGTACACTTTACCCACAAGACACGAACTTACTCCAGACAATGGCCGGTGTCAGAGGTTCGTGACAAAGCCTTTCCTAAGCCGACCCAGGATTACCTCATGCCACATAGAAGGATCAAATCCTCCCATAAATATAGGCCATTTCAGTTTTCACAAATCAACTCCAACCACCTCGATCGGTAATCTGGCAAGCTTCGCGTTCTTGCCCTACCAGGAACCCGGGTTGGCTCCAACCGACCCCGCCCCGGCGTTCCCCAACTATTGGCATGCGAGGTTTCCCTGAATCGACTAGTTACTTAGCCAGGGTGTCCCATTCCACCTTGTGGTTGCACTTTGTTATGCTTGATGAATTTCCCACAGGAATCGGTCCTTATATGCGAATACGGGACAGTGCCACGCAGGCACAACCCCCGCATCGCGAGTTTTCATAATTCATTTTATTTTTAAACACACCGACACCACATGTCGGGTTTTCAAGGCTTCTCAAACCCATTTCCCAATTTTTCGACAATCAACGGTGTATGTGGGATATTTGGTATACGCGCTCAGAGAGCACGGATACCGAGGTACCACAAGGGTGGAGCGACAAGGAATCAGGGTAGTGGCTCGGATCGAAGAGAGGAGGCGTGACGGCGGCCGGCGGCGGCGGCGAAGCTCGTCGGATCGGGGATGTGGTCGCGCGAGGGAAGGGACAAGGGGGCGCGAACTCGGGCTTAGCCGAACCGGTACGCGACCGCGATGCGCATGCGGTGACGCGGGACCCGATGGTCACCGGCGACGCATGCGCGGCGGCGTTTTGCGGCGGCGGAAGGGGCGACACGGTGCGGAGGCAAAGGAGAAGGCCGGCGGCCTTGGGGCAGCCAGGGGGAGGTCAAGGGGATTCCCGGAAGCGTGGCGGAGAGAGGAATCGGCGCGAGAGGAGCCGATGGCTGTGGATTGCGGCGGCGGCAATCACCGGCGAGCAAAAGAGGGAAAACACGACGAGACGACGAGGGTTCGATTCAAAGGGGTTGGAACATCTCCGGGGTTCAAGGAATCCGTTTCCGGCATCGGATTGGGTGGAGCGGCACCGAGAGGGGCTAGCGACGAGAGGCGGCCTCCGGAACAGAGCATGACGGCCGGCGAGCTAGCGCGCGGCGCAAAGGCGGCGAGCGGCGGTTCGGGGGTGTTCCATGGGGATCAAGGAGGATGACAACGAGAGGAATTAGGCGGAGAGCTCACCGATGACGACGGACGGCGTCGGTGGCGAGGAAACAGGAAGCCGGCGGCAGAGCGCGGCCGAGGAGAAGAAGGAGGCAGCGAGGAGGCAGTCGCGGCGGCGGGGCAGCACGACACCGAGAGGGCGTGGCCAGGGAAGGAGGGAGGGAGAGGTGGCGCCCGGAGCTCCTCGTCACGCGTTCACGCTTGCACCGGCTCCTCTGGTGCTCGGCGACGGACGGCGACGACGAGAGCGGGACGGGCGGCAACAAAGCGGCGACGGTGGTTCGGCAACAATGGCGCGGTGGGTGTGAGGCGAGTGAAAATGAGAGAGGAAGGGGTTTGGGGTGGCTTGGGTTTTATAGGCGGAGGCGATGTCGGTTTGGGAGGGGAGAACCGACCTTGGTGGTCAAGCGCTTGGCTGGCGGCAGCGGCGGTTTCGTGGGCGGTGCGAAAGCGGCGACGGTGTGGATGCGTTGGGCGGTGGAGGACGGTGGATCGAGCGGCGGAAACTGAAACGCGAGCGCGGGCTGGTAGCGTGGAGCGGTCAAGGTGGGGCAGCGAGCTGCTGCAGCGGCGTCAGCGGCTCTGCCTCCGAGCACAAGCGACCAAGGGGTGGAGACAGGGCGCCATTGCCCGGGAGGGGAAAAAGGAAGGGAGGACGGTGGAAAGGGGGACTTGCCCCTTCCGGTTTGGGAGAAGGAGGTGGGAGAGGGAGTGCTCTGCCTCCGGGATTTGGACGGACGCGGGTAGAGCGGCTTGGGCACGCGCTGCAGAGCTCGCGGCAGGCAGCGGGGCCGAGCGGCAGCGCGGCGCAGGCGCGGACGGCGGCGGCGACCGGGTGGTCGGCCACGATCAGCGCGTGCGTGGGAACCAAAGGCGGTGGCGGGTTCAAAAGGCGGCGGCGGGAATCGGCGCCGGGGAGAGAGGAAGCAGAGAGGGCGAGAGTGAGAGAGAGGGCGGCGCTCTCTCTCGGCTCAGGCACGACGCGCGTGCTCAGCACGTGCGAAGGGGAGGGGAAACGGGCTGAGAGGAGGGATGGGCCGAGGGAAAGGAATTCGGCCCACAAAAACAGAGGGACGCAAAATAGACTTTTATAGGGAATTTGAGTTGGAGGGATTTGGGGCTTGGGTTTAAATTTCAAATTTGAGATTTGATCTCGGGGGTTTAGGGAGGAATCAAGGGAGACTCAAGGAAAGGATTCGAGATGGGAATTTGATATTTTCGGAAATGGGGACAGGTATTTGGCGGGGATTCAAAGGATGCGATTGAATTTCGGAGTTTGATTACGGAGACTTGAGTCGGAATTGGAATCTTGAGGTGGACGATTTTGATGGCGATGAGAGGGAACAACGATGGAGATTGAATTGAGATCCATGGCACGATTGAGACTCTCACACAAAGAACGAACTTTTTCGCAATTAGGATTTTGCCAAATTAGTTTTTAACGTCTCGCTAAAAGCGCGGCGTTACAACCT